GTAGAGCCAGGCTGGGTTTCTCCCTCATCCTGACCCATCCCTTTATCCTTGCTTCAGAAGGACCTCTAGAGAAAGCTATTATCTTCTTTACTGTCTTATCACCTAGCATGGATTTGGGGCCTTCCCTCAACCTTGGCAGGCCTTTGTTTGAGAGGATGCCTCTTATCCAGTGCCTTGGAGGTCCTCCAGGTAGTTCTTTGCTTTGTTTTTCATCAGGGATTACACAGGATGCCACAGTTTGATCTGGCACTTTCACTGAATACTGTAAATTATGAGTGCCCCTTAATGTATTTTCTTCCAAGGAGGAAACTGGAGCTTACTGTTCCAGAGGATTTCAGGGCTCTTACTGAATGAGGAACTCAGCATCTTACCATATGTATCTGCAAGGCTGCATTTACTTCACACTCACCTAGAACATCAGGCTGCTGTAATGCCTGTCCCATAGGATTTTTTTCCTATATTAACACTAAAGATTTGTATCTTTTTTTTTCTTGTACCTCTAAGAGGAGATGACCCTTTACAGGAAGGATGAGAATTTTGTTTCTTTGTTTGTTTATTTAAATTTTGAATGCCACAGTCCACTACTGGAAATTTGGGATGGTAAAATAACCCTCTTTAGACTCACACACTGTGAATCCAAATCCAAAACCCAGGACTGGGCAAGCTCCAGATGCAGTATGGGCCTCTGAGACTGAAAATAAACAGCCAGAGAGTTGGCTGGAAGAAGAAACCTTCCCTCCTGCCTTGCATCCGTGAATTGCTAAGCCAGACAGGGCTGGCTTAATGCATAGAAGCTGCTGATTCTCAAACCAATGCTGTCACAGTGGGATGTTAAGAAGGAGGTACAAAGTCTATTTGTGTGCTCTCTTTTTAAGTGTTTGAAGTTCCTTTCATACCTGTGCTGCTTTCTGACATGAGACAGAGCAGATCCACTTTGCAGGATGCTTTACAGCTAGCTAGCACATAATGAAAATTGTTACCAGCTCTTAGAGCAGCTCAGTGAAAGCTAAGCTCATAAATGAATAATTGAAACTCATCCCAACAGCACCTCTGAAAAGCACTGCATAGTAGCCTCTGTCACTCTTTTTGCATCTCTGAAATGCAGTCAAGAGCATCATGAGAGCTGTAATGTACAGGTCATGAGAAAATGCATGTCTGGTTCATTACAGTTAAAAGCCCAAGTTAGAATTGAAAGATTTGGCCTTTGAAATGCATACTGGCTCTGGTTTATAATGGTTTATTATCATCTCTAAGTAAGAATTGCCCATGTCTGGCAGCATGTAGAAATACACTGTTCTGACTTAGGAGGCAAGCAAAATAGCAGGAAGTGACTCTGTTTGAAAATTTGACTGTAAATTTAGATATAGCTGTTCTGATCCTGGCATGACTTGTTAAAAATCAATGTATTTTTGGGAGAGATCATGAAACAAAAAAAAAAACAAACACAAAAAAAGAAAAGAGAAAAGGAGAGAGAGGGAGAGAAGAGTAGAAATAGAAATAGAGTTTTATAGAGGAAACTAAAGAGAGAGATGCCGGTTTATGTTACCTGTATTATAGATTTCAAGTCACTGGTACTCCAGCCTGTTGACAGCTGCGATGAGTTCAGTGCAAGCAAGTAGAAGGGCATCTGCACAGAGACTCTAGAGACTTAAATCCTGGTTTGGCATCTGTCTCACACTTGCCATTGATTTTCCAGCTGTTCCTGCCCTTGGCACTTCTCCTGCCTTTCCCCTGCTTAAAAGGCTATATCTGGGTCAATTTGGGGAAGGGGCCAAAGCCACCTCCAAGACCAGAAAGCTGTATGCCCAAAACAGGCTATGCTGCTGCTTCTGAAGCTTTGGGAGGCAATGTAATGGTGCAAGCACTGAAGTGCAAATGCTTGGAGCAGGGAATGAAAGCCATCAGGACCTGGAAAAATGATCAGGAGGCCAGCTGGCAGAGCAGCAGTCCTAAGCTTCATGTGTGCATGGGCAACCAGGTTTTAAACATCTGTAATTACATGCCTAATGCCCTAACTAACAACAGGCAAATCCCAGTACAAAAGGAATACAGGGATTCAAATTTAACATTGCCAAAGGTGTAGCACTGCACTGCTCTGCTCATTCTGCTCCCATTGCTAGCACCTCCCTCATCAGCTGACCAGTTGTTATCTTACGAGGAAAGAGCACTGTGGCAGGTCAGCAAGGTGTGGGTATGTTGTGACAGCTGGAAATAAACTTCCTGAGAGAGTTACTCCATTTTTCTGGACATAACTGGACAGGCTGTGATGAGGGAATCCCCAGTCATAGCCTCTGCATCCCCAGGCTGAATTCCAACATAAGAAAGCAGAGGACCACTTTTAAAAAAATGTCCCAGATGTGGGAGGGGACTGGGCAGAGCAAATTTTTCCAAAGGTCAGATTCCAGGAGTCTGGTTAAAGTGAAGTCCTGGAACAATATCTGGGGCTGCTAATCTGCTTCATGAAAAGGGGGCTTTTGTCACCCAGAGGGGTGGAGAAGGCAGAGGAAGAGACTAGAACATGATTCACTTGGCGCTCTCCTCATTTCCTCTGTTGGAGCTTCACTAAAACCAGTGCAGCAGGCAGGATTATATAACTACCTCTGGTCTTCTATCATGCATGCCCTCCAGGAGCAGTACGCTTCCTGGCCTACTGCAATGCAGCTTGCAGTGGAAGATGATGGAGCTGGTCTGATTCACAGCAAGGAAAGATCTAGCCCAGTGGCTGTTAAAAAGCACAATTCAGACTCCAGTTTCTAAGAAATGGCTTATGAAGAAAAGCAAAGGAATTGCAAAAGCGCTGGAAGAATCTAGCTAGGCAAAATGCTGTTTCCTCCCTTTGTATTTAAAGAAAATACTAGGTTTAGTCTGCTCAAACAGGACATTTGTATCAGCCACATACAGATAGTTCCTTGCTTTTCTGTTCCACATGCCTACTGGTATAGTCCCGTGTAGCTCTTTTTCTCTGTAGCAGCAGTTTGAAAATCCAAATTAGACCCATACGAAGTGACTGTCTCATACTTAGATTGCCTTTAGACATTTACGCCTGTGCAATGCAAATAGTACCAAAAGAGCAATAATATTTGTAAGGCAATGGGCCAAGAATTACGGCAGTGGAAAGAGCTTCACAATCCTATTGTAGAAAAAAGTAAAGCATTTTACCCTTTCAGAGAGCCTGTCTTTCCTCATTGATGGTCACGTCATACCCATCTTAAGTAGACGCAGCAATACTGGAGGAAAATAGGGAAAGAACATAGCATCAGAGCTGAGGTCGACATCTGGTTGGACTTAGGCTTCACAAAGGAATTCACTGACTCATTGGCACATGTGAGGACTGTCATCTCCTCTGCAGTATTTAGTCTTTAATCATGAGAGCCTGTTGGAGTAAGGCTTGGCTTGGCTTTCAGGAATATTAATGGAGTAATAATGTTATGAAAAATGAAAAAAACAAGGCAAGAAACTGAATAATTCAAAAAAACACCATTATGACTCCCTCCCTACATACAAACATAAGGAGGGAGTAGCCAAAAGATTGATGCTGAAAACTATTAAAGTCACCCACTGGGTGTTTGAACAGGAATAGGATAGGAGTCCCATCTGTGCTCTGACCCTACCTGACCTTCAGGGGCTCCACCAGAGGTGCAAAAGTTTTGTGAAGTGACTGAGGTCTCCCTGTGACCTCAGTGGGGCGTAACATGGACTCTCCTGACAGGATATCTGCACCACCACATCCCTCCTGCTCTGGGGCAGTCATGCTCAACCCAGGGAGAGGGAAGGAAGAGGAAATAAAGTAAAAGATGACGGGCAGGGCTTTCCTTTTGCAATTGTTTGGAAGAACATGGACCATAGTGTCACTTTCTGGGCAAAATGTGCTTTGAATAAGTTGGTGTGGGCACAATATCTTCCCACACACACCCAGCACATCCCCCTCCTGCACCATTAGAGAAGCCCCACAGGCAACCAGGAGCAACAGCTTGCAGATCTGTGCCCAGGCATGCTGCTTGGTGTGGCATGTTCACTAGCTTGGGCCACATCCTTGCCTTTCCACTCCTTGGAGACCTGTGCCTGCATATGTCTTACTGGCCTAGGATGCAGAGAAAGGACTCGGAGCTGGTGTGCTGTCTCATGCATCTGGGTCCACAGCCCTGCTCTCCTGAAGATTTTGAGTGAACTACTGAATCTCTTGAGGTTGATAGATCACAGGTGACAACAGGAAGTGGTGTGGAACATATTTACTCATGACTACCCCATTGCTGTTCTTTGTTATTTAAACAAATGTTTTATTAGGTTAGTTCCATGTGATCAGGAGGATTTGGAAATGCCTGATTTGACCTACTGCAGTGATCTCATAATTCACAAGACCCCAGACTGTATTCCTCAGAGAGCTAAAGGATTTCTAGTGGAAGTTCCTGTGAAACTGAGACGACAATGTCTGCTTGGGCATCCCCTGCTCCATATGGGAAAGGCCTGAATAGAGGAAGAAATTTATATTCTGACTTGATTTTGTGTGATAAGTTCCACCACCCCCTTCTGGCATCCTGCCTCCGCCAGCCATGGTTTCCATTTACCCGGAAGTAAATCACTACCTTGCTCCAATATATCTAGTCTACTCCAATCTATTACAAGCCTGCTCCAGTCATATGTTGTTGCATGAACTTGAGAGCCGTTCTCTGAGTAGCAAAGGATGCCCTTTCTTGGATAAGGACAATTAAAGCAGGACTATGTCTCAGGCATTTATACTATGCAAATAATCAGCTGAACAACAGATAACAGCTAAACATTTCTAGCAACTTAGGAGGCAGTTTTGTTCTCAGACTAAGGTTGAACCAACCACTACTCTAAGACAAGCCTTAACTATTTGTTTCCCCTGTTTTGGCAAATCCTCCCAGTCCTGGACAGTCCAGTACATCTTTATGTGCACCAGCAAGAAGGTCTCTGAGATCACATTCTAGCAATAACACAAAAAAAACAAAACAAAAAAAAAAAACCCAGAGAACGGAAGACATTCAGTTCTGTTTATTTCAAGTCAGTTATGTCAGGACGCACTTATTCCAGGATCATCCCAGAAAGCAGAGGTATTTTGTCGTGCAGTTGTGGAAGCTTGTTTCTACTCTGCAATATGTGGCAGACAAGGCAGTTAGAATCTCAATACAACACTACCCTCTGGGAAGCATTCTTCTTGCCTCCTGTCGAAAAGAAGGTAGAGAAGCAAGGATGAGTATAATTCTCCTTAGGCAAAGAGCTGCTAAGGGCATTAATGGCAGCAGTTAATTGCCCAGTCTGCTCATGGCACCTGTTTATTTCATAGGTTTTCATTTCATTTTACAGAATGCTTCCAAGTACTTCTGGAACTAGAAACACAGTGGTACTTGCAGGAAGGTGTCACTATGGGTTTCTGTTTGCCTAAATATGATAATCAAGGTTGCTGCTTTAAGCAACAGAGACACCTGTATTTTCAGAAAATGATCCATTTGATCTGTCTTGGTGTACCTTAAACACCTGTCTACAAATCCAGCCAAATACTTACCAAGCCCTATAAATATTTGCTTCATCACTGGTTATGCTGTATAATTGCAGGAGTACACATGAATGTCTCCTGATTGCTCCTGTGCAGTCAGAGGTACTTTTTATGCTAACCACCTGCCATGACTTGGTGACTAGTGACTCAGGACTGTACTATTTCTTATTTCCCCAAATTCCCTGCCCCACACTGTGTAGTTGTCATAAAGTATTTGTATATTAAGCCTGCAATCCTACAGCCATTTCAAATGGCATGAATGCCCCTATAGTTGTAGCCAATGTGTCCATTCCAACTTTCATCTTGGCTCCATAGGCAAGATCTTAAACCCATCTTCCCTGAAACCCTCAAAGATGCTTAATCCTTGAGTCAGAAAAAGGTTTCTGTGTCTGGTCACAAGACAGTCCCTGCAACACTGTAGTTTCACCAAGATTGTTCAGAAAGTCTCAATCCTATGACAGCCTTTCCATGACTTAGTCTGAAAGACAGTACCTTTCACCTTTTTTCCTCCTTAGCCCTTGTCCCTTTCCTTGCTTCCTGCCTCTGACTCTGTGTCTTTGACTCCGTTGGGAGTGTTGCCTGTTGTGCTGTTGTGCAATTCTGAAATTGCCTGTATCTCACCATTTCTGCTTTCAAGATCTCTGTGACAGGACAGCAGAGGTGCCTGTTTCTCTGATGGGTGGGCTTGCTCCCTATGACAGTGAGTGGACATGTACCTGGCCTGTCCTTAGAGGTCAGACACTATGGGGTATTTGTGATGCAAGAGAGTTCCTTTTGCCATATATGGAAATAGCTGTATTTGGATGTTTGGTTTTCTATCACAATAGAAACTGCTTCGCGATTGGTCTTTGGCTGTGAAAGAAGCACATTTTCTTCCATCTCGGGGTCCATGAACTTAGACTCATGGCTAAAAAATTTACCTCTGGGCTTCCACTTCGGGGTTTTTACTGTGTTAGGGGGAGGGCAAAGACAGTGAAACTGAGGTCTGTAATCTCCAGAACGTAGCTGAAGCTCAGTAGTCCAGAGCCTACCCATGTGATGCCATATTCTACGAGGCCCATCTCTTATAATCAGATCTGACATGACATGACAATGAAACAGGAAAAAAGAAAGAAACAGGGAAGTTTGTTAAGGATAGGAAACACAGACTCATAATTGGTTTCTATTAATTATTTCATTTTCAAGCCAAAAATCTCTCCCATTAAAGCACTGATTCCTGACATGTAAAAATTAAATGTCAGAAAAACTAAACACACCCTGTAACTACAAGAGTATTTTTTTCTGCTCTCTTGTTGAAGTGACATATGAATACTGTGAGGTTACTCCTATTGTGCAACTGACGCATTGTTATACCACATAGCAGGATGGAGCTGACCCTAGAAACTCCCAACACAATAAATTGAGATCTTCTTTTGGAAATGACGCTAGTAGTAAGCATCTCAGTAATGATAGCCTTTGGGCCTTGTTCTGGAGTCATAGGGAGTTTATGAGATGTTATATTCTCCCATTTCCTCCCTGCTGAAACTTCCCTGGGAAGGTCTTTCAGCATCAGGATGTGTCACTGCCAAAAGGATGTTTGGGCAGAGTCCGCTGCAAAAAAAAAGAAACTGGACTACAGCTCTGGAGCTAGGTAGGCAGGAGGATGCAGTTTAGAGCTGGAGCTGTTCCCAGGCCTGAGCCACCTGAAAAACTTGGTGGCATAGTAAAACATTACCTATCTTGGACATAGGCCTCAATCTGGCCAGGAAATACCATACTAAGTACTAAAAACAAGCCCAGCGTTCTCAAAGAGCCAAAAGCATCTGGTATTTAAAAGAAAAGATGTAACAGGGATAGTTTGTTACAACCTGAAGTCCTACACCAGGATATGGATACCATAACAATGAGTTCATAACAACTGTAGATAAAGACCTTGTTTTTCTCTCATAGCCACAAAATCAGAAAAGCACTGTGGATTAATGAATATGCCTTTTTATTAACCATGGGTCAAACACATGGGCTGATGGATACAGGTTATTATTTTCAATAATGCAGCCAACATGAGGTGCAATTTTTTATAATTATGTGTATAATACTGCATTGTGCCCAACCTAATAGCTGGTCCCACAGCATGTGAACATTCACAGAATTACACTGCAGCACCTCAGCTCAACACAGCTACCCCAATATGCTGCAGGAGGTCTACCGATACATCAGTCTACTTATCACCTGTTCCAGGAAAGAAGAAAGATTAAAGAGGAATGAGAGTTTAATTGTTCCACAAATTATCCAGTGAGATACTTGTCTGGAAGAGTAAAGCAGCTTTATACAGCTGCAATTTCTTCATAAATCCTTCCTTCATTTGTTAGTGCAAATTTGCGAGACTGTCAGTGAAAAGGGGACATATGAATGATCACAGCAGACATTGCACCAAATCTCACAGTGATTTGTCCTTAAAACTGAGGTGTCCCATGGTTATTAATTGTGTGTAGTGAAACTGAATGTCTCTATCCACATACAGGAAGTCAGTTTTCTGCTAATGTGCTTGTAAATCAAGAGCCAGTTCTTTACCATCAACAGATACCCAGTACACACAGCTGTAAAATGGACATGAGATCACATGCAGCACTCTAGTATCTGGGTTCTTTGGCTTTTTTCACCTTTGTGATTTTGAGACATTAATCTACCTTGATTGTATAATTGATCCAACAGGCTAAACTCTCCTTTTACCTTTTCCCCTGTAAGCCAAAGAAAGACACAAGGAATGAGTTTATTCCTCACTACCACCCTGCCTTTTGTTTTTCTGGTTTGATTTTTTTTCAGTTTACAGTCTTAAGAGCTATCATAAGAGAAGCTTAATAACGCCTACAGGTTTTTACGCTTCAGTGAAAAATGACAATGCAAGTCCTTAGGCATTTTTTCAGAGTGGCTCTGGGCACAGAGTCATTCTTTTGGAATCACCAATTTATTATTTTTTTTAGCATGTTGGATTTTACTGTTAAGGAGGGCTTCTTACAAAAAAAAAGTCACTTGATCCTTTATAGAAGGAGCAACTATATTAAAACAAGGAGAGAGGGTTAAATTTTTACAGGCAAAAGATGGTTTCTCATTGACATTCATACTCCTGTTACATTTTCAAGGCTACCCAAAAAATATGCATGGTTAGGTGCAACTTGCTGGCCATAAGTGAGGAGGTGAAACAGTAGGAGTCCACAAATTGGAAATACTTCTTCTCTGTTTGCAGATAGCAGGCTCAGTGTGGGTAGGAGGTAAGTATACACTGTGCAAGAAAATCAAGTATTTTTAGTTATAGTCATTGGGGTGCTAACAGATACCTGCATGCATAAAGAAATTTGATGAACACTAGGACAACATGTCAAAAACTCAGATAAAATTTATGCCCAGGTAGTCCAGCTGCCAGTGGCATAGCAACACAGCAAAGTTAATCTCAGAAAACAGGGGTGGAAAAATCCTACTGTCTTCAGTATTATACATACCTTGACAGAAAAAAACAATTACCACTTGCAGAAAAGGACAGGGAGAGTCAGTCTTCCTCCGGTTAGGAGTTGGCATGATCAGAAATGCACTTTCTGGTCTTTCAAAAGCACCACGCTCAGTGTAGCACCACTCAATCTTCAGCCAGTTCTGACCCTATTTCTTGGCTTCAGCTGTGGCCTTAAAGCTATTCCTTAGCCATGAATATTTCTATCTGTTTTCTATTTAGAAAAATGCTTCTAGGAAACAGGGATTTCAGAGAGGGTCATATCTTTTGTTTTGTTGGTAATGCAACATTTTTGAGTCCCTGGTTGATTATGCCTGTTTACCTTCTGATAGCCGTGTTTCCTGGATGACTGCCATATGTTTTTCCTTTCTAGTTAATCTTACGGCAATGATCCTGGCCTTCAACAGATATAGAGTGTTTGTCCTCCTGGCATTCAACAGGATAATTATATTATTTTTTTTTAGCATAAATACTTTTTCATGTGTTTCTGGGTACATAGCATTCAGAAACTAAACTCTTTCATGAGCAGCACTCACATCCAGCACTTGGCATTTTCAAATCTCTGCAGACACATGATTTCATGCTTTCTCTATCTTGAAAAGCAATAAAGTTTACAAATAACTTTCCACACTTCCAGGGAAGAAAGCTGAAAAATTAAAAGGTCCAGGCTGCAGGAGCAAAAACTAGTCATATAAACAGGTAACCAAACATATAAAAACATAGCCATTTAAAAGGCATCCAAGGAACCTTTCTGGAAGAGGTAACCTTTCATAGCAGGAAACCCTTGCTTTGTGCTTAGTCTGAAGACATCTCTCCATTCCTCAAGGTACATGTTGCTGACTTGGGAACACCACTGATATTTTAACTCTGGAGCTCCATAATTTTCCTTTTTTTATTTTTTTTTTTTTTTTTTGTGTTCTGCTCTTTTTGCAGGTTTAGCTTTTGTTTCTCAATGAAGACTCCAAGTTTTCTGTAGCTCCTTCAGTCCTACAGAGTGCTCTAAGAATGCTGTTAACTGAGTAAGACTTTCCCCTGACATCAACACGAAACAATGTTGAGCTGAGAAAGCAACAGACCATGGCATCTTATTGTATTTGTCTGAGATAGGATTCAATATGAAGAATCAGCTCATTGTTTCAACGTCTGCACACCAGTTAACTATTAATGAATTCACAGTCAATAAAATATACTCTCTGGGTAATATCCGGTCAACAGTTAACCTAGTAGTTATGTTTGGAAAAGAGTTTATGATCAATCCCCTGCTGCCACAACCATACAAGTTCTGGAATATACACTTGCTGGCCTGAAACTTCCCAGAAACCTTAGGGTGGCAAAATCAAATCTTACATGAGGAGGGAAAAGAACACTGCTTCCCAAAAGGAGGAAAGAACATGTATGGCTATCCCAAAATTAGGAGCA